GCAGAACATTCACATATCTTCTATATCCAATCCTGTATTTCCCAGGAGATCAGCCATGTTAGAAGATATCCATGCCAGGATGTAGTGCACCCATGTGTTCTGGCTGACCTTGGTGTGCTGACTACACCCCACAAGCTGGAGCAGTCATTAATGTCCCTTTGGACTACCAAGGTGAACTATTTACATGCTAAAGACCAGTTATAAGCTAAGCATTTAAAGGAACAGGAATTCATGCAAAAGATCTTAATGAACTGGACACAAAACATCACATGGTCTTCACACACTGACAGCAAGGCATACATATACATCATCATGGTCTACAGTAAGAATGAGCTGTGTTTTTTGTCTTCAGTATTATTCTGTGGGTATTATATACCCTTAGTAAATTTAAGCTGTGTGAGCAAAAGATGTTTGTAGGTGAAAAATCACCTGTTCATTTCTTTTGAGACAGGTGTTCATGTATTAGAAATAGAAAATGTGCACTGCTGTAAACAAGCAGCCCAGTTAAAGTAGAACGTATCAGTATAACTACCCCAGGGGGTTCCTACTGCTTGTCTTAGCCACAGCACTGTGAGACTGGCTCTCTGATGGAGTGCAGTGAGCAGGGGTGGAAGAAGCGAGATGCACATCACCATGTGCAGTGCAAGGTTAGCTACCACCACACACAGCTGTGGAGACAGCTCTCACTGCGTGAGAGAGAAGCATTCACCACAATCCGCACAGTAAGGAGTTATAATTCACCAATTATACTTCTGTTAATGAGGGCTTGAAATAGCTGTAAATCACAGAGGGCTTCCCTGCCCAAGGCACTGTCTGTCTTATGCCACTTCCTAGCAATTGGGCCTACCAGAGATAGAGTTTCCTGTTGCTCCTCCTGTGGCACTGGGCAGCAGCTTTTCTTCATCTAGGAAGCACTCCCAAACATACCACAGGAACATGACCTAGGGATTCAAGTCAGGAATTTCTATTCCCATCTCCAACTGCTTTCTTCAGGTGGTTTGGGTAGGGCTTTTTTTCCAGCTGATATGGGGCTGTATTTGAGGCTTTTCAATGTTTGTCTTAACATTAAGGGCAGTCACCGTGCTGTCTGCTGATGGTGCCAAACAGTAACTGGAGTCACTATGTATATACCTGAGCCTACCCGTATTTGTTTCCAGAAGGAAGAGGCAGTGACATTTCTCACTGTGTAAAACAAACAGGGAAATGCCTTGTGGCATTTTCAGAGAATGAAGTACAATAAGCCCACCAACCTGCAGGGTATTAGAAGTCAAAACACCATTAAAGAATTCCAGTGTTTGGAGAACATTTTTGCATGAATAGTCACCTGATTCCAGTACCCTAAGGCCAGAAGCCAATTGCTGTGCTCTCTGGCATCTCTTTTGTTCTACTGTAACCTCTCTGAATGATTCACAGAGTGACAGCAGAAAAACCTGGACTCTTGTTTTCTTTTAAAAATAGTCAAGCACTTTGAGATGGAAAGGTGAGAGGAGAACAGTTCAGAGACTGAACAAAGCTCTGACTTCCAACAGAAGAAGTCAGCCTCTAAGTATCTACAAGCTTTTGGCCAAGACCAAACAAAAACATCACCCAACTATAGCTGCATCTCAAGTCACACAGAGAGTCACTGAAAGCCATAGATGCAGCAGCTCTGCATAGCAAGCAAAATGGGATAACTGTTGGGTAGGCATCGATCAAGAATCAGAGGCACACATTGAAACACACTGAAACACACTGGTCACATTTCTGTCAGTCGGACCTTACAAGGAGACTAGAAAAGAAACCAAGTTTAGTAAGAGCCATGTATTTTGCAATAGCTTGAATATGAATGTTATCAGTGCTTTAGCCCTAGCCCAAAGATAGCCATGACTACCTTAAGGATACAAATATCAGAAGTTTATTCAGCCTAGAGACAGGTAAGTTATATGATTTGGGATATTTCAGCACAGACTAAGACTCCATGAACACCGTAGAGTGCAGAGTGGTCAAACAGGCTCAAGAACATCCTGTTGGCCCTCAAACTTAAGAGCTGCATGAAAGG